TTTTTTTTATAAATAGTAATAAATAATTAAAGCTTATTAATAAGCTAGCTAAATTTATTAAAAGAGTTTAAAACTATATATTAATATACTAATAAGCCTTAATAAAAAAAAATTTATTATATAGGAATTCAGTATTTTATAAAATGAAAATAAGGCTATATTATAGTTTATATAAGTTATTAATTTATATATAAATAAGCTCGAATATTGTTTTTTAGAGTTTTTTATTATTATAATTACTAAAATAATAATATTTTATTTATTTAAATTTTAATAATAAAACTATAGTTTTTAAAAAAGCTATAAATATTTATATAAGCTTTTTATATATAACCCGAAAACTAATTATTATAAAAGCAGTCTTATATTAGTTCTTTTAATATAATAGAAAAAGCTCTTATTAGTATTATTATATTTTTATATTTTAGTATTAGTTTACTAGTAATATATAATACTATTATATAGTCGTGGAATGCTATTTATATAAGATTAGTAAAGTTATTATTTAGAAGTAGGAATTATAGTATTATAGTATTAATATATGATCCCTAAATCTGCTAAGCCTAAAGGGGTCTAGTTTACTAGTTAAGTCACACATATAATACGAGGTTATATAATCCAGGAAATTCATAGTATAGCTATTCCAATATTTAGAATATATTTTTATTATTTTCCTAATAAGCTTTTTAATAATAATAATAAATATTAATTAATAGAAATTCGAATTTAGTAATAATAATAGTAATAATAAAAATAAAAATAGTAAATAATCTTAATTTAAAAAAAGTAAATAAATATCTTAATTTAATTAGCTAATTAATTAAGAATATTTAATTCTTTTTTATTTAGTTTTATTTAGAATAAAATAAATTAATATAATAAATCTTTTTAGAAAATTTATTCTAATTAAGCTATTTTTAATAATATTATTAATATTAATTCTATTTTCTTATTTCTTAATTAGCTTTTTTTTCTTTTTATTATTTATATTAAACTAAGTTTAGTTTATTTCTAGTATATAAATATAATTTATAATAAAAGATATTTAGATATCTAATAAAAATATTAGATATCTAATTTAGATATTAGACATTTCAGATATCTAAATACTAAATATTTAGAAATATTAAAAATATTAAAATAAATATTTTACTTTTAAATATTTTATTTATAATAAGAAATTTAGAAAACAAAATATTATAATTCCGAGAGAATCTAAAGCTTAAAGAGTTTAATTTAATAGAAAAATTAAAGTTTATAATTAAAAGGCTTTAAATATATATTTTAAAAAAAAATCCTATAAATATAGATATTATATAAATAAAAGAAATAGTTTCTAAAAAAAAGTAATCTTAGAACTAAAAGAAATTAATTTTAAAAAATAATAGAAATTAAATAATTAATAAAAGCTAGTACTTTTTTTTAGATTATTAAATACTTTTTTAATTTACTAGATTTTTCTTTAATTTATAAATATTAGAAATATTATTTATATAAAATTAATAAGATTATTATTATTTAGAAATAAGAATTATAATATTATAATATTAATATATAATTCCTAAATCTATTAAATCTAATAAAAACTAGTTTACTAGTTAAATTATTTATAAAATATAAAATTATATAATTATATTATATATTTTATATTTTATTATTTATATCTTATATTCCGAATTCTATAATTATTATAATAGCTAATATTATATAATTAGTTTTAGTTAAAGGAATTAGTTTTAGTTAAAGGAATTAGTTTTAGCTAAAGGAATTAGTTTAGCTAAGGTTCTAAATTATAATTTAAATTAAGCTTATTTCTAAATATCGGTTTACTAGTAATATATAGTACTATTATATAGGCATGGAAGTACTAGTTGCATTAGTTAGTAAAGTTGTTATTATTTAGAAGTAAGGATTATAGTATTATAGTATTAATATGCGATCCCTAAATCTGCTAAGCCTAAAGGGGTCTAGTCTACTAGTTGAGTCACGCATGTGACGCGAGGTCACATGACCCAGGAAATTCGCAGTGCAGCTATTCTAATACTAAAGTTTAGTATTTTAATAATTTTGGCTATATTTATTTATTTACTATTATATTTTATTTCTTTTTTCCTTAGTTTTAAATTCTTAAAATATAAGAAATTTTTAATTTTTGAGCCTTATTTTATTATTTTATTTCTGCTATTATATTATTTAAAGCTTTAATATTTTTAATAATAAATATTAGTATTATAAAACCTATAATCTTTTATTTATTTATTTAATTAGTAAAATATTACTTCTAATAAAACCTTTATTTTATTTAGCTTAATAAAATATTATATTATTTTTAAATATCTATTTTATTTAATTTATTAGAGAATATAGTTTTATTTTTATAATTTTTTAATATTAATTTTATTAATATTTCCTTAAAAATAGATTCTATTTTCTAATTTCAGGTTTAATACGAATTTAATAGCCTATATTCGAAAATTACTATTTTATAAATAGCTTTTATAAAAACTCAAGCTTTCTAATTCTATCTAAATTTCTCTAACTTTAAGAAATTTATTAGAAGTATTTATAAATTTAATATCTGGCTTCTATTAATTAAAATAAAGCTAGCTATTAATAGTATAATAATTAGAAATACTATAGCTTAATTCTATTATTTTTATTTAAAGCTTAATTTGTTTATTTAATTTATAGTTTTATTATAGTTCTTTTATATAGAATATATTTAATTATAGAATTATTAAATAATTCTAGATTAGCTTTTATAAGTATATAATAATTTAAATAAGTAATTAAAGGCTAAAAACAAGCTCTATATCTTTTACTAAAATAATAATTTTCTTTTCATTTATATTACTAAGTTTAAATATATCTTATATAAAACAAATAACTAAAGCTAATTAAATATTAATAAGATTTCTAGTTTTTATAATAGTCTTAATTCTATAATTTATTTTTATTTAACCTAATAGCTTATTTTATTTAGGATTTATATTAATTTCCTATATATAACTTAATAGCTTTTATTAAAAATAGCTACTTTATTATATAAGACTATTTCCAGAATTACTAGTAATTTTGTAAATATTAATAAACTATTAAATAGTACTTTTATATTAAGTCTAGTATTTATTTATTAGAACTATTAAAAATCTAGCTAGTATTTTAAATATAGTTCTTATAAATACTAGATAAAGAACTATTTCTAGCTACTTAAAAGTACTTCTTCTAGTTCTAGTTTTAGTAAACGAGTTATAATTACTATAGTTAATAATAATTCTAGTAATAATTCTAGTAAATTTAGAAGAGAACTAATTTTAGATATGGTTTTTAATTATATATAAAAAACTAATTTTGCGGCTAGTAATTAGAAATAGAGTTCTTTTTCTTTATTTTATTAATTTATTATACTTGTTTTGGCTTTTCTTTTATTTATATACCTTTATAAATTCTAATATTTAAAACAAACTTTTTAAAAAAGGAAATAATATAATAACTAGTATTATATAATAGGTTTTAGCTAATAGAATTAGTTTTAGCTAAGGTTCTAAGCTATAATTTAAACTAAGCTTATTTTTAAAATTCGGTATTTTAGTAGTTTTAGTTTTAATTATATTTATTTATTATTATATTTTATTTCTTTTCTTTTTAGCTTTAAATACTCAAGATATAGGAAATTATTAATCTTTAAGCCTTATTCTATTACTCTATTCCTGCTATTATAATTATACTAATATTTATAATTCTTGCTTTTTTATAATAAGTAATTCTTTAAAATTATTAGGCTTTAAACTAATAATATTATAAAAATAAAATAACTATTATTTTAAAAAAACAAAATTCTTAAGTAAAAAACATAAATGCCTTATTTTTAATTATAATTTCAAGCTTAATAAAAATATTAATATTATAAATAATAAGAACATTATTTATTAAGATTTCTTTATTAAAAACTAATATATTATTTAGTTTAGTAATTAAAAGCTTTATATAACTTATTAATTATTATTTAAATTATTAAATTATTAGAAACTAATATAAAAATACTTAATAAATATATTTTAGTTTTAATAAATAGAATTAAATATATTAATATTATTTACTAATTCTTTATTAAATATAAGAGAGTTATTAAAAGTATTTTAGTTTTAAAATTCTATAATATAACTTATAGCTTTAATTAAATCTATAATTAGTAAAGTATTAAAAAAATTAGTATTAATTATTTATATAAATGCTTTATTAAATTAGATATTATTTAAAAGAAATATCTAATAATTAAAATAATATATTTTTATTAAATATATAAATAATAAAAAATTATATAATTAAATATAAAAAATAAAATAAAAAATAAATATATAAAACAAAAATATAAAATAAAAGAATATTTATAAATATATAAAGTATTTAGGAAATCTAATATTAGGCCAAATTAAGAAATTAGTATATAATTAGAAAAAAATACTATTTTTCGCGTTTTTAAAGAAATTTTAGTATTAATATAATTATTTCTTAGAAAATATATATATAATTATAAGATTTAAAAAACGAAATATAAATATTAAAATATAAAATATAAAATATAAAATATAAAATATAAAATATAAAATATAATTATATGATTTTATATTTAATAAATAATTTAATTAATAAACTAGAATTTATTAGGCTTAGTAAATTCAAAAATTATATATTAATATTATAATATTATGATTTCATTTATTATTTAATATAATTAATAATATATAAACTTATAATTCTTATTATAAATTATTTATATAATATTCTTTAATTTATATATTTTCTTAAATATAAAATAATATAATTAGAGCTAAATAAAGTTTCAGTTTTAACTAAACCTTATTATATATTTTCTTTATTAAATATTTTATAGATAATTAGTATTATATAAGACAGGGTATTGCATTTAAGCGGGAAGTCGAGTAGTATTTGTGCGTCGCCAAAGGAGCCCTTATACATTTATCTACTCAAATCGGTTTTCATCCCCTGTTCAAGAATCTCCATCTCGCATTTAACCAATCAAGCTGCTCTTCGCGAAAGTTATCCTTCTCCACATGTAAGTTAAGCGTATTGGCGAGGGTTGCGTTGTAGACGAAATTCTTTTCTGAGGTCTGCGTATAAGCCGGCCAATGCGGAATCCATTTCAGTCCATGTTTATTTGGATCCCCGTAATTTGCAAAACTGATGAAATGTACCTGCATTGCATAGCTAACATTGCGCATTGCTGGTACATCAGGGAGGGAGGGGTACGGTGAACCGCTGACATATGGGAGCGCAAATTCAAAACTAAGCTCTGCACCATGTTCAGCAAATCCAACACCTAGGCCTGGCGTATAGACTAGAGGGATGCGGCTGGGATCGACATCCCAGCGGAATGAGTATACTTTCTTTCTAGTGAGGCTGGACCAGGACTGAGCTGTCAACCGTCGTCCGGCCTGCATAGCATAGTCATTGATAAAGCCATAGATGCGTCGCGTTTGATTTCCAGACTTGATACCGATTGTAGCCGTCAGCTCAGGCCAGTTTATGCTCATTGGCTCCGAGTAGGGTGGGTATTGTGCGTCTTCCGGCCATAGCTTGAGCACTTCCTGCACCATATCCGGTCCTAAACCGAAAGCCGTGGTCAGGATATTTGCAAACTCTTCGTTGGTATTGATGGCAATTTGTGCACCAAGCGCCTCGGACATGCCTTCATCGGTATTACAGCCGATGAGAATGTCCACAGGTGCGAGTAGAGCAGGCTTGTGTGCGTATGCGACACTAGCAGAGTTTCGGATGATATCTCCATCGATCATGGGCTGGAAATTCAGCAATCCGCCCAAGGAGGTGAGAGTTGCGTTCAAGGTTGCAAAAGGGACTATCAACATCGTCAGAAACAGATTTCGCAAGCTGCAAAATTGAGTGGCGGGCTGTGTGACTTACGTTCGCGCATACACTGGAGGGAATCGATGGCGTAATAGCATCCAGTCGCGTTGGCCACATTATCATAGCTCGTCTGCGCTGTAGTTGGATTACCAGCGCCTACCCCGAATGCGGTGCCGCTTACTGCAATTGCTTTCTGGAAAAGGTCACTGTTATCTCCTCCGTAGGCCATATTCAGGAATCCGATGGAGAATGCACCCGCGCTCTCGCCCCATATTGACACATTATCGGGGTCACCACCAAAGCCCCCGATGTTCTCCTTTATCCATTCCAGTGCCTTCCACTGATCACGAATGCCCAGATTCGTAATTCCTTGCGATTGAACCTCGATGCTGTAGACAAAGCCGAACATGCTAAGGCGATAGTTGATGCTGACAACTATCACTGGCTTCTTGATTGCAACTGAATTCTGCACAATGAAGGATGTGTTAAACTCGCGGTCGTTGATGCTGCCTTGACGGTAGCCACCACCATATATCCATACCAAAACAGGTAGCTTTGCCCCAGGTCTTGTTCCAGCAGGTCTGACGACATTGAGGTTCAGACAGTCTTCGCCGGATTCTAGGTATGGAAGCAGATTGTTGGTTCCAAAGCCAGAACAAGTTAAGCCGGGTTCGATTGCATCACGGAAGCCGCTCCAGGTCTCTGTCAGCGACTCGGCCAAAGCGAAACGTGGCGCGTGGGCGAATGGAATGCCGCGAAATATCTCTTGGGATAGCTGAGGGACGCGAACACCGGTGTAGGTGCCATTCTTCGTTCTTGCAGCAGTTGCAACGGGCGCGGTTGATGCATAAGTTAGCGGATAGGAATAACAATGGTTAATTAGTGAGCCTGCGCAAACAAGGAAAAAGGAGAGACGCATTATGACGTTAGCACGTACGAGACCTTGGCTTCCTCGCAGTCCCAACGACCCGGATTGCGAAATGTCAGGGCATATTTATTATACACTTCTCCCCAGACCCCACAGGAACCGCGAAGTCTTGTGTCATCGGGTAAGCACAATTATAAACACCGATTGTGGAGAAACATAGACTCCCATATTTCCGATGATCTAGCTTGATGGAGTAAGTAGCTCGTACAATGGACAATAAAAAGGACCGAGCGGGAGAGCCTCCGGAATAGCGCCGAGTAGATAAATGTTTTTTCCCGTGCGCCGCATTTTCCGTGCTACGCCTACTCGTTCGGCCGGGCTCACCTGGTTCTCGCTTAGCACGCTTACCAGGTGAGGGAGGGCAATACGTAAAAACCAGCAATATACAAATGTAAAACCCCACCAAAAATCAATTATTCGCATATGATTTTGGGAGCAACGGCACGCAATTAATAACTCGTTAAGAAGCGGGAATAGTTTGGTAATACTGAAACTTCTACCCTCTAAAATTTGAAGCCAAAAATTCGTAGTTATCCGTTCCGCTGCCACCAGCTTTACATGGCCCGTGCATCGGAGCGGCTCGCTTAAATTTCAGCCAATCAGAGGGCTGTATTCCATTCCAAACCCTTCGATTTCTACTTCTCCTCATGAAATATATCAAAACAGCTATTATAATTACATAAATGAACGTCGCACTGCTTACACCCAAAGGAGGACGAGTACTTACTGCTTTCCCGGCCTCTATTAGATGCAATTTCGCTCAATGCGACCCTTTTTCTTGGCCGATCCCTATATCTCAAGCCTTTACAGGCTACGCAGTACCCCCTTTTAGCCATCTTTACTAGCTCGTGCGATTCCACAGGTACCTGTTTAGCTCCCTGGCTAATCTGTGATATTCTTCTCTTTGGACAGATCTTACTGTCTCTCCCTTTAGCTAGTAAAGCACTGACTAGCTGTCTCCTGAAATCCTGCTGGCTTCTGAAGCTTATTTCCCTAGGTTCAGGGACATCGCTACATAAAGCTAGTAAATAGCAATTGATCAGAACCGTACGAAGTAGCCAGTGCTCTAGTACTTGGTGCCCTCCCCGCTCCACGTACCGTAAACCAGCGTTCTGGGCAGTCAGGTGATCAAACTCGTCAACTGCTCCCATATGATAGTTATATCCATCCGCAATTACAGGAATCGAGAGTATCTTTGTAGCCTGATTACCAAAGGGTATTCGTGCAGTCTTCGCTTTAGAAGAAGTCTCCTTAGGCCTCTTCCTTAGCCGTAAAACACGCTCGTCACCTGATATAAAGGAAGATATCATTAAAACAAAGGCTTGATCTTTTTACCTAACGTAATACACTTCTCCATTAGGCGTATACCTGGAATACGTTTCACCCCAGGGTATTACGTCCTTTTTGTCCGATTTCTGGAGGTCAAGAAGCTCCTTAATAACCCTACCAGTTGTCCTGCAAGTCCCAGTAATCGCAACTCCCTGGGAGCGAGTATATTGGATAAAGCGAGTAGAAACAAAGAGATTATTAAGGTAAATGTAATATCCAGAGCCCTTAGGAAGCTTGGGCAACCTTTTAATTAAGTGCAGAACTACTACTTGTATCTTATTTCCCCCATTTCCAGCCTTAATTATCCCACCAAGCTCTCGTAGAGTACATACTCCCACAGGCCCATTTTTTTGACCAGGAATATGCCAGTTCCATACGAGTAAGAACCCCCTTTGGGCTGCCTCCCAGACCTTATATCCTGTAGGTATGGGCTTGTTTGGAACAGTGGTTGTTTCTTTGGATCGACCTTCAAATCGTATGATTATCTTATTGATTGCCAAGTCCCGTCCAGGCTTCCAAATACCCAAATTAACCTCTTGAATATGTGTACTAAAAGCTTTAACCTGCTCGGCAATTTATTAGCTAGTTTCAGGTAAAATGAACCGAGTAATAGGGGCTACCTTCTTATATGGGCCTTGTTCCTGATTTCCATGGAATCGTATATATATATGGAGCTCCTGAAACCGATTCCTACTCAAATACTTCGTAATTAGATACTCAGGTATCATATTCTTTGTTATCCAATAGTCTGCGATCTTATTATCTATATGCAAGCTCATATATATTCGAATTGCAAGGTAGATATATATCTCTCTATAGCATATTAGGTACTAATCGTTTGCTCGTACGTAAGGGCCAGATTCGTCTGAAGGTTTTCGCATATAGTTATTTGTCTTCTCAACTATTAGATCAATAATTTTGGGGATATAGTATATAGTAAACAAAGTAATAGGATCATCTGGAGAGACGTCTTCAGGTAAGGTGATTTCCCAGCCGAATTGGGGCAATTGCATAGGCTTGAAAGCACTTCCCTGCTTGCGTAATGGATCTTTATTAGGCCGAAGGGTTCCTTTATTAGTGGAATCAAATACGGTAGCGTCTGGCATCCTGATTATAGTATAATTAATGATTTAATTGAGTATTCAGTGGTTTATTTACATATAAACAGGAACCAGAGTTTTGGTATTCCTCCGGAATAATGGTTTTTCCGACGCACGGGCCATGTAAAGCTGGCGGCAGCATAGCGGATAAGGGGGGTCAAATTTCCCTATATAAATTTTTGCAGTGATTTGTATATTACTGGGTTTTATATATTGCCCTCTCTAGGGATAATAAAAATTTAATTAATTAAATTATAATTAATAGTCAAATTATTATTATTTATTAATAATCAAGCCATTATTAAATATATAATTTTATATATAATTTATGATTTTTAATGAAAATATTAATTATATAATATAATATTAAGAATAAAGTTATATTTTTATTTCTTTCTATTTATAGTAATATTTAATACTAGTATCTTATTAATAAAGATACTAAGATCTTCCTAGTTCTCCTCTTTGTTATTATTATTAATAGCTTTAATAATTACTAAATTATTTTCCTAATTTAATAATAAATCTATTATTAGTTTTTTTAATAGCTATATTTCTCTATTCGTTTTATATATTACTATATATATTAATCTTTAATTAATATATATAAAACAGAGCTTATTTATAGTTCCAATTAATATTTAATTTCGCATCTTTAATTATAGGAAATTTATAATAGAAAAAGCATATTCAGAAGCTATAGAATTAGTAATTATATATAAGAAATTAAGGGCTAGTTTAGATAGTTCTAGAGATTTAATTGCCTATTATAATTAGTAAATAATTAATACTATAAAGCTATTAATTATTTACTAATATTTTTTAAAAAAAATATTACTTAATTATTAAAATATATTTAATAAGAATTTAAAGCATGAAAATTCCCCTATTTCTTTTTATATTAGAAGAACTTATAAAAGCCTTTAATTCTAAGCCTTTTAATTATAAAGCTATTTATTTATATAGAAAATATATCTATAAGAATAATATTATAATTCTCTAGAAGAAGTATATATATTACTAAATAAATGAATTAAAGCAATATTTTATTTATATATTTCATTTACCTTTATTTATTTATATATAATAATTCTTGATTTCTTTTTATTATAGCCTGCTTTCTTATATCTTATATATATAAAAATAGATATTAATTACTATTTATTAAGAATATTATAGTATAATAAGCCGTATTTTATTAAAATTACTTTATTTTAATAGTTTTAATATTTTGGTTATATAATAAAGGCTATAGCCTTTTATATATAACTTATAAGAACTATATAAAAAAGTTAGTTTTTCTATAGTTCTAGATAATAATTCCTTTTTTATATTTAATTAATTGAACTTTTATATACTATATACTATATACTATTTATACTTTTAATCTTATTATTTTATTATTAAATTATGTTTTATATTTTAGTATACTTTATATAAGTTTTTATTTTATTATAATTTCTTTCTTATATATTTTATAATAAGTAATATAAGGAAAATTAAAACTTTATAATTAAAGTAATACTTTTATAAAGTTCTAAAAGATTTTTATAAGGCGGATTATTAGCTTAGTAAGTTTAGGGAAAAAAGGACTATTATAATATTTTAGGCCTAAAGCTAAAATATTAAAAATATATAAATATTAATTTTAATACCTTATATTAATTTCTAATATATCTAATAACTTAAATATAGGTTAGTTTTAAGATATAATTACTAGTATAATATATAGAAGTAATAAGAATAAAGGCTAATTATAAAAGAAAAAGAAATAGAAGAAATATAAAAAAAATATTATACTAAAATAATATAAATTAAACCTTAATTAGAAATGAACTTTAATACTCGAAAATAAAATTATATTATTAATTTATATATTATTTTTAGTTATAATAAATACCGGAATAAAAATAATATTAGTTTTAGTAAAAAAGCTTATTTCTAAATCCGGAAAAGATATCTAAAAAAGGAAATACCCTTAATTTCAAATAAAATAATAAATAGAAATTAGAAATAAGAATTTAAAAAAATCAGAAATAAGAAATTATATAAATAATTTAGAAAAGCTTTTAGAGAAAAGAATGAATATTAAATAAAGAAAAAGAAAAGAATTCAGAAAAGTTAGAAAAATTAGCAAAATTATATTTATTAATTTTATTATTGTTTTTAATAATATTATTAAATATATTTAGTTTAGTAAAATTAAGGGAAAATACTATAAATATTAAATTAATAGAATAGAAAAAATAATATAAGTAATAGAAATAAGACTAGAAAAGCTATTACCTTATTACTACTAATATTAAAACTTAAACCTAAACTAAATTTATTATTATTAACTCGTTTCTCCCAAATTCCAATTCCTAAACTAAAAAATATATTTAAATAAGAAATTTGTTCTTTAGAAACCTTATTAATAGAAGTCTTAAATATAAAAACTTTATAATTAATTATAGAAAAAATTATTAAGATTAGTATAATTAAGAATAAATATATACTAGTACCGGATTTAAACTTATTATTTATAAGAGCTCCTGAAATACTATAGTTTTATAAAAATAATATCTTTATATTCTTGAAATAATATATAAATATATATAAGAACTATTATATTTCTAATAATATTAAAAGAAAAAGAATTATCTATTATATCTTTTTTATTTATAAGAATTAGATTAAAGCTATATTAAAGTATTATACTAATAGCCCAGAAGATTATTAGGAAACTAAATTCTTTAAGGCTTTATTAAAGGAATTCCGAGAATATAACTAGAAAATACTTAAAATTAGCTATAATTTTCTTAATTAAATTATTATATAAGTCCAGAATAGAAAAATCTCTTTTAAGTATTATATTAATATATTTAATAAAGTATTAAAAGAGTTATTAAAAAGAAAAAAAAATTACTTAATACCAAGAATTTATAACGGAATTATTTATTCTAGTAAGAGATTATATTCTTAAAAATATAAATTTTAAACCTATAAATATTTCTATTTATAAATATAATAAAATATATAAGAAAATAGTAATATTTTATTAATATAAAAAAAAACAAATACTATTTTAATATTATTAATAACCTAGATATATCTAGGCTTAGATAAGAATACTTAAATATAGTAATTTATAATATAGTTCTCAAGCTAGAAAATAATTATTCTTTACTAGTTTTTTTTATTATATTTCCTAAAACTACTATAAATATAAATAAAAAGAGAATCTAGCCTATAGCTAATTATATAAAATCTATTAAAAGTAGTAAATTTAAAGGAAATAATATTAACTAGTTAGTAAAAAGTCTAGAAAAACTATTTATTACTATAATAACTTAAAAGAATTTATAGAAAGAATTTAATATAGCTATTATTATAATTCGGGAAAATATTTATAGCCTATTTATAAAATCTAGCTAATTATAATAAATATAATTCGGGTTTTTAAAAAAAATATACTAGAAGTTATAATAGAGGTTATAAAGAATATTATAATAGCTATAATAATTAAACTAAAATAGATAAAGAATCTAAATAATTATATTCTAGAGGGAATTAATTTTAAATATAATTAGAAAATACTATTTATATTAATATAGCCTATAATATAGATCTAGAACTAAAAGAATAAATTTATTATAAATATTATAATAGAAATAAAAATAATAATATTAATTTAGAATATATTTATATTTCTTAGTTCTATTATTTACTAATAAAAAAGCTTATAAATTGTAAATATATTTACTAATTTAATAAAAGATAATATAAAAAGCTATTTAAATCTAGATAAAAAAGTATTTCTTTTTTCCTTATTAGTAAATACTAATAGTTTAATTAAATTATTTCTTAAGTTCAAAAAAAAGAATTTAATTATAATTTAAATATTTAACTTAAAAATATTTAGAAAATAGTAAAAGATATCTAGTTTACTAAATAAAAAGAAAAAAGAACTAGCTAACTGGAATCTATATATAAAAGCAAATAAGTCATATTTAGGAAATCTAAATAGCTACTTTATTTTAGAGGAAATTCTATTAGAATTACTAATATTTCAAGTTCTAGAATTAATAAATAATATTAAGATTTGGCTATAAATAGTATTTCTATTAATACTATAACGGGTTTCTTATTAAAAAAAAAGAGAAAAGAAATAGAAATAGCTAAAAAGGTTTTCTAAAAATAAACTAGAATAAAAGAAAAGCTATTTTATATAAGAAGCCAGAAAAATACTATTTTAAGAAATAATAAATAAAGAAATAGTCTAGCTAAAAATATAGATATTAATATTTCCGGAAACAAATAAAATAAATTAGAAACCTAGTATATTCTTAATTATAATAAATATAAAACTCCTAAAATTAATAATATTCTAATAAAACTATTAAAAAAAGTAATTATTCTATTTCTGAAAACTTAAAAAAAAATTTTATTAATATTTTAAAAATACTAAATCTAGCTACTATATTTTAGAACTAATAGATTAAGAATAATACTTTCTATTTTAGTATTTTATAAATAAGAAATACTATTATATTAAATATAATTAAATAAACTAGAAAATCTATAAGACTAGTAGCTATAGCTTATATAATAAATAGAATATTTAAAGAATTAGAAATATTAGCTTAAATATCTAATATTAATAGAATTATTTAATTTAAAAGTAATAGTATTAATATTCGAATATTACTAGCTTATAAATATATTATATAATTTCTATATTTCTAATTTATATTTCAGAAATCTTAAAAAAGTATTAAATATAAAGAAATAATTAATACTAGAACTAAAATTAATATTTTCTTTAAAAAGATCTTTAGAAATATTAGTAAAATAATATATAATATTATAAATTATTAAATATCTATTATTATTAGAACTAAATTTGAATTTATAAAAATAATAAAGCTTAGAGCTAAGATTATAAATAGAATAGAATATAAAGATATATTTTTTCTAGTTAAAAAAGCTTTAAAAATTCCATTTAGTTAATTATTTCTAATAAAAATAAAAATAATAGTTTATAAAATAGAAGATTTACTAATCCTAAAAATAACTAGAATATTTATATTATTATAATTATTCTATTTTTAAAAAATACCAGAAAATAGAAAAAAAGTAATAATTTAAGAATATTAAGCTTCTAGAGTTA